TACAAGGAACTCAAATGTGCTGAAAAGAAAAAAAACAAACAACCCCATTATAAAATGGGCAAAATATATGAACAGACACTTCTCAAAGGAAGACACTCGAGCAGCCAACAGACACGTGAAGAAATGTTCAACTTCACTAATCAACAGGGAGATGCAAATCAAAACCACACTGAGATACCACCTAACTCCAGTCAGAATGGCAATTATCAATAACTCAAAAAATAACAGTTGCTGGAGAGAGTGTGGTGAAAAGGGAACACTTCTACACTGATTGGTGGGAGTGCAAATTAGTGCAACCTCTGTGGAAAACAGTATGGCGATTCCTAAAAGCTCTAAATATTGACCTTCCATATGACCCTGAATCCCCCTACTGGGAATATACCCTGAAGAACTCAAATCACTCTATAAAAAAGATACCTGCACACGTATGTTTATCGCAGCATTGTTCACAATAGCAATAACCTGGAAGCAACCATGCTGCCCATCAAAAGAGGACTGGATTTAAAAAATGTGGTACATATACATGATGAAATACTACGCAGACATAAAAAAGAACAAAATCATGAATTTTGCAGCAACCTGGGTGGAACTAGAGTCTATAATACTGAGTGACCTCTCACAGAAACAAAGATCTGAGTATCACATGTTCTCACTCATATAGTGGACCTTGAACATCCCATGTAATACTATAAGAAAATGACTGACAGTGGTGGCAAACTATGGGGTCGGGGAAGGGAAATGGGATTCACGGTAATAAATATCTGTCTGGGGATGGGGAAACACCTCTTATCAACAAGGGTGCCTGAACGAAGCATATTTGTATACCTAACCCTTAACTGTACCCCACAATATCATAACAAAAAATATTGATTATTAAAAAAAAAACAAGCAGAATATTGATCATGCAGGGTTGATTGCTGGTTCATTTTGTAGATGACTCACTTTGTGATGCCTAAGGATGTTCAGCCCTGACTGGGAGAACACACAGAGCTCCCAATCCAGATGAGCAGCTCATGAAGGGATACTCAGAAAGGTGTTGACTGCATTGTCCCATTGCTGTTGTTCACTAGCACACCCTAGTGACAATCTTTGTTGGGTGATAGTGATGTGCAATGGTAAATATTTACTCTCAGATAGCCCAAAGGAGAAAGCTACAGGTCGTGCTAGAAATCACACAAACGAAATGAACCTTAAACACCACTTGATGTTGCAGGAACTCACATTGTATCCTGGAGAAACTTGCAGGGGAAAGTTGTCCAAAGGAAAAGACCAAACTGAACTGAAGGGGGCTTGGCACAGGGAAGCTGGGATTCTAAGGATAAGCGATAGTGGGGGGTGTAGAGACCTTGTGGTCTGCTGAGCTGTGTAGCACAGTGGGTTTGGGCATGTTGTGAAAAGGCACAGGCCCCAGTTCCATGTGGCCCGTGTGACTGATGTCACGAGGGGGTGGTGTGGACTCCATGGTGAAAGATGTGGTTATAGCCATGGCCTGTGGGAAAAGTCATCATGGCTTATCACCTAATACCACAGTTATCATTCACTAGTATCTGTCTTCTTAGAAACAACCATAGCCTGCTTCCTTAGGCAACAAGGCCTCACAGAGTGAGTACGAGGCTCATGCCTCTTATTTCTCATTCTATTACCCAGGCTAGAGTGCAACGGCATGATCATGGCTCACTGAATCCTCGACCTCCTGGGTTCAGGCGATCCTTCTTCCTCAGCCTCCCGAGTAGCTGGGACTACAGACATGTGCCACCATGCCTGGCTAATGTTTTTGGTTTTTTGTAGAGATGAGGTCTCTCTATGTTGCCCAGGCTGGTCTCAAACTCCTGGGCTCAAGTGATCCACTCGTGTCAGCCTCCCAAAGTACAGGCATGAGCCACTGTGCCTGGTAGAGTTTCCTCTGCTTCTTTGGGAGAGCGGGCTGGGCTTGGAATCTGCTTTGCACAGCTGCCTCCAGCAGTGCCTGCAGGAAGGCCAGAATAAATAGGCTAATTATTCAGAATATGTAAATGACCGATCCCTTCAGTGGAACAACTAATCAATGCAGTCAGGCATTGGCTTGATGGATTTTTCACTGTAATCCTTATTGATAAAATAAAGGGATTGGACTAGTTGGCCTCAAGGGTCCCTTTTAGTTCTAGCTTATGGTGATTCTAATGACTCAGCCTAATTGGCCCCTTGGACTGGTGTCATGTAAACACCATCCCTCAGACAGCATTAAATCACTATTTAATGCATCAAAGTTTCAGTAACACTATTATGCCTGATTTTACTTGTACACATCCACTTGTCTCTTGGTGAACGCATGTGTGCTTAAGATGAAAATGGCTCCAAGAACTCCAAACCATATGGAATGATGTGACAATATTTGATTTTCATTAAAATAAATTTAAAGAAGTTAAAAAAACAAATGACAGCTAGGCCTGGTCTGTTCTCTTGTAGCTCAAGGTCATCAATGATTAGGCTGAGCATAGGTGGGTCAAGTTGGCCACTGACATTTTTCATTCCTGGTACTGGAGTGAGTAACCAAGAATCCAGGGAAATAGAACCACAAGTCAACCTTCCATCCTTTATGGAAAGGATGCATCTTCCCCTCACCTCTCAACCTCTATTTATCTTGTATTATTGTTATTTTTTGAGACGGGGTCTCACTCTGTTGCCCAGGTTGGAGTGCAGTGGCATAATCACAGCTCAGCACAGCCTTGACCTCCTGGGCTCAGAGAATCCTCCTGCCTGAGCCTCCCAAGTAGCTGGGACTACCACCCTGCCCGGCTAAGTTTTTGTAGAGATGAGGTCTCGCTGTGTTGCCCAGGCTAGTCTCAAACTCCTGGACTCAAGCAGGCCTCCTGCCTCGGTCTCCCAAAGTGCCGGGATGACACGTGGGAACCATGCCTGGCCCCTCTATCCATCTTGTGTGTACAGCAGACCTAACAGCCAAGGGCTGGATAATGGTGAGATGACGTCTTCATGGCATGGCTGCAATGCGTTTGCTCTGCAGAGACCATGTGCTGGACCCTGGTTAAAGTAATGACTGTCTGTTTGCAGGGGGAAATGCTGGCATCAATTACCGGGAGTGGTATAAGCCCCTGGTGTGGTTTTGGATCCTTGTGGGCCTTGCCTACTTTGCGGCAGTCCTCAGCATGATTGGAGACTGGCTACGAGTTCTGTCCAAGAAGACAAAGGAAGAGGTAGGACCCCTTCCAAGCTCCACGGACGCTCTTGAGGTCAGAGGAGCTCGTGTCCAGATGTGCCCGCCTCTGTCCTGTGGGCTGGAGTGTTTCTGACTCGGTGGAGGGCTCATAAGTCTTCCTGGTTTTGAATCATTCCCTCACAGCCAAGCTGAACAGATCCAGGCCATTATTTCTGGATTCTTTTTTGGTAGGTGAGAAGACAGCACGGCTTGTCTTACGGCCCATACGTCCTGCAAAGACTAGCAAAGGATGACTGGTTTTTAAAAACGAAAATGAAAAAGAAAACACAGAAACGGTCGGCAGGGGTAGACTGTGGCTGAGGAGACAGGCACCTGCCCCTTATCAGAAAATACAGGTGGAGACGTAAAAATCTCAGAGAGCCCAGCAAAGCCAACGGCCGGCCCTGCAAGTATTGGGTTCCGGTGTGGAAATGCAGTTAGACACTGGGAATCTTTCTCCACTCGGTAGGAGGCTGAAATAACTCAACAGTGGCCAGCTGCAGGGAAGTCCACTCAGGGGGTCCCTCTCATCTGTAGCACCTCCCAGGAGTCAGATCTGTAGAGATAAATGTATCCCTACGGCCAGGGCTGTGCATATACATTTACATGAAAACAAAGGCAAGTAGAGGAAGACAGAGAAGGAAAGACAGATTTTGTGATTGGAAAAAATAAAGTTTGTGTAGCTCTTCTAGGAAGAAAGGAACAGAAAGTGGGAAGACAGGAAGGGGAGAGAAAGAGGAGCTCAAGAAAGGAAAGGAGATAAGAAAAAACAAAGGAATAAAAGATGGCACAGCCCTTGTTGCCTTCATTCTGTACACGAGGCCCCCGAAAGTCGCTGAACAGAGAATTTCCCCGTATCCTTTTGCTGGTTGCCAGGGATGATTTCTCAGGCTAGCAGAAGCACTGCCTATACAGTTTCCAGTCTGATTTCTCAGAGAGTTGACGGATCTGCTGAAAATCAGCTATAACAAAAGAGAAGGGAACGAGAATATTGACTTTCCTGAATACAAACATTTGAGTAACTCATCCATTGAGGGGTGCATGGGACTTGTGCTGTCTGTCCTGTTGGTTAAGAGCTGGGAAATTTGGTGCTGATCTATAGGCAGAAAACTTCACTCCAAGGAAGTCTGTTCTGTGGGCTGTGGCAGTACATATTGCTTCCTGCATCCTGACTTGGGAGATTTGGTTATAGGGGGCTCTGGGGGAGGTCTTTATCTTATTTATTTATTTGTTTTATTTTTATTATTTTTTTAGTCGGAGTCTTACTCTGTTGCCCAGGCTGGAGTGCAGTGGCATGCTCACAGCCACTGCAGCCT